TCTGATTTGCTGCAATCCTCAGCCTGCTAGTGCTGTGCAGGCTTGGCGGGTCCTGAGCACTATGTTTTGTGTCAGTTTCTGTGATTTTGTGTTTCTGTTGGGTACGCTAGCAAGATCTGTAAGTAGGCCTACAAGGAATCAGGGGGTTCCCCCTCTTTAGGGCTGCCACCCTCTGCAGTCTATAGGACAGGAACCCAAGGAAGGGGACTTGGTCAAGGAACCCGAGTCACCCCATTTGGCCAGCCCTCTGACTGAAGGTTCTTGCAGGATTCTGTAGATTCTGAAGAGGGCCCTAATCTAGTCTGTGTGTAATGTGCTATGTGGTTGTTAAGTCTTTGTTTGTCCTGACTCTGGCACCCAGGAGTTCCGATGGAACAGCTGCCGCTCTGGACTCCAGCTAGGTGCTTTTCTGATAAGTTGGTCCTGTGGCTGTGGACCTTGGCCGAGCCTGGTTAGACACTAGCCCATCTTATCTCTCTGTCTCTGTCTCTGTCTCTCTCTCTCTTTCTGTCCTTACCCGCCCTTGCACATTTTGTGGGTCAGGGGTCTTCTTTTGCTGCCTGAGCACGTGGCCTGTAGGACAGGAGTCCCTCCCACCATGTGCTATGGGTTAGAGCATGCTGAGGCAGGGGCCCCTGTCCCCATGCATGCAATGAGGCAGCTGCTCTGAACTCCTACTGCTGCTGCAGCCCTCACAGCTGAGCCTGGCTGGTACAGGCTCTCTCCATCCTCACCTGCTTGCCTGTGAGGCGTACAGGATGTGAGTATGGGCTCTCTCTCTCTGTCTCTGTCTCTGTCTCTCTGTCTCTGTCTCTGTCTGTCTCTGTCTCTGTCTCTGTCTCTCTCTCTCTCTCTCTCTGCCCCACGCATATGGCGTGCTGGCCAAGGAGCCATCTGCCAGCTTTTCCCTCCGCCAGAGCTCCCTGCCCGAACACACAGGGCCAGGGTAGGTAAGCCATTTGGCCAGATCCGGTCTTTCCGCAGAAATAGAACAGCCTTAAAGTTATCATAACCACAGGAGGGAAGGGAAAATGCAAACTGTTTCATATCTACAAACACTAAATTTTAAAAATTGGTGACATAAGTTAAAATTTGATCATAGTAAGTTAGTTCTGTTGTTTAAAAAGTTCTGTTTATTTCTCAAGAGAAATTTATGTATGCTTGTTTTAAAAAAAGTTCTATCTGTGTTTTCTGGCATAATCTGAGTTTTGTTACAAACACAGAGCAAAAAGAGAAATGATGCAGGTCACCATTTTGCAGTCACATGGCAAGCTGGTCACATGGCTGCTGGTAGCCATTTTGCTGCAGTTAAAAAAATCTTAACCGGCCATCTTGAAGTTATGAGGTAGCATCCTATAAACTAGGTTTTTTTTTTTTTATTAAAATTTAAAATGCTAATGCCTCCATACACAGGAATGCTAAGCTTGTAATTTAACAGTCACCCAGATGATAATAGTTTTAAAGACCTAGAGTATATTTTAATTTTCAATATTACAAAAAAGACACTAAGGGATTTTAAATTTCTCTTTAAGAGCAGTTTTAAAAAATGTTTTAAACTTATAAGGTTATAAGATATTTATACGTTTAAAATGTTTTCATTGCTGATGTTTATACTTAAAGAGCTTCAATTTAAAATCATTGTTTTTAAAGCTAAACCTGACAGTGTAAAGTTCTGGTTTTATAAAAGCTGCTAACTTAATGTAAGATGTTAAAAAATGCTAGTTAATAGAGTTTATATTTTCAACAGTTAGGCTTAAGGCAGACAAACTTCTAATGCTTCAGAGACCTGCAGAATATGGCATTTAAAATGTTAATTTAAAAGTTTATAATATCAGAAGGACTGCCAGATCCTGACAGTGACCCAATGTCTCCAAAGAAAATTACGAGGCACCCTGGTTCCTGCACCTGGATTGTGTCGATGCTGACCAGTGAGCGAGATGCTCAAATGTGACACCTGATGCCTGCCAGGACCTGGCCCAGACTGTGGACAAAGCTGCTGGACACTGGAAAATTGATTGCACCCCCTTTGCCTAGACAAAACAAGGTCAGTCTTTTCCATGTCCCTCTCCCACAGAGAGAAAGAAAACTCTCACCTTACAGGCCTGGTGAAGATTGATGCTGTTCCTGATACTTGTGCCTCCAACACTAATAGAGGAGACCTGGGTATGGCTGCATATGGACTGATACCTGTCACTTTTTAATAGATTCGTAAACTGTAAAATTTATCCCTCTCAGATCTCTGAAAGTATTAATGGTTGCCAGCTTGACAACATCAGACAGCCAAATCCACAAGACTATAGCTTGATAGCTCATTTTATTTATGTAAAAATCAAGCCTTAATGTGGTTCCTCAATACGGATCAGAGGATGTAAAGATATAAGATATGCTGTTCAATCACAAGCTCAAGGTTTTTAGGTTTATTTTGATTGTCATCTAAGTATAAACTTAAAGGGCTTTTCATCAGGCAAAAGACACCTCTGTCAAATCCATACCTGGCTCCTTGGACAGAAGACAAATGTACACTTCTAGCCTAAATCTGTAGTTTTTGCAAGGATTCAAAATACAGTGTGGATTTCAGTACAGATTAATAATGTTAATGTGTCTATAACCTTTATGTCCTTTTGTATAATAAAACTAATATAGGCTTCAGAGGATCAAAAGTCATAAAGCTTAGATTCACTTCTCACAGGTCAAAAGGACTTCAGATAAGTAGAGCCTATGTTATCCCACCTGTCTGTTCCTGAGGATGGGGTTTTCTCCCCTGGTCTTGGGACTCCCACCCTGTCTGGTCACTAAAACTATGGGTCTAAAGAGTTCCAATTAAATATATAAGTTTTAACTTGTGTTCCCAGTTTTAAACATGTTTTAAACAGGTTTCCGCTCCTGGCAGACACATCTGAGCATCAGTTGCTGACAACAGCCTACTCCTAAAGACTGCGAGGTCTGGACTTGCTGTGGATATGAACCCATTCAGCTGATGTGGACACTCCCTGTCTCTTCAACAGAGTCTGCCAAACAGCTGCTCCTAATGGATACCCCATTGCCTGAATTCCCTTTTTGCTTTTGACTAGCATTTCAGCCTTCTTGGATCCCTAACTGTGTTCCAAAGTCAGCAGGAAGTAACATGGGAAATAATACATCACCCCTTTTCTTGGTTGAGATGCTAAGTCAAAAGGCAACTCCCTTACATAGGGGACAATATGATAACAGATACAAATGTCACTCCTCCAGAAAAATCTGTTAACTAATGGCAGGTCCTGTTAACACCGCTTTGAGTCCCCAACAGGCAGGACTCAGGATGGAGTCCTGTCAGGGGTACTTCGAGAAGGGGAGAATGTAGTGACCAGCCTCCCCGTTTAGTCATTACAGGCTACCATGTGCTTGCATGACCTTGCCCCTCCTGTCCTGGTCACTAGTAGGTCAGATACCCTCCTCGTGGCAAGGAACCAATCAGAAGTTAACTGGCGGGGCTGTGTTTTATGACTCTGGGTGTGCTTTATGGACAAGTACACTACAGTGACATGCAGAGCATAGCAGCCACCCGGGGAGGGCCTATGGGCCATAACAACCAGTTGACCAATCAACACAGGGCAGACAGTCCAAACCTGTAAACGCACCAATCCTGAGACTGTTTCATACCCCTAGACACTCCCCTTACACTGCCCTTTAAGATCCCCACCTCACAGGTTCTCCAGGTCTTTCTCCAGTCATCTGCCATGGTGGAGGGATAAAGGGCCCGAGCTAATGGATTTAGCTCATTAAATAACTTCAATAAAAGACTCTCTTGTGTCGAAAAAAAAAAAAGAATGAATCTAACTCTAATAAGTTTCTTTCTATGCAAGAGTATAAGGATGGAATCTTTAAAAAGAAGAACAAAATCTAAAACAAAAAGCTGTCATTTGGTCACTCAAGAATTATTTCTGTGATGACCTGTGACCTGTGGGCACACTCAGCACCCTCTGGAGACAGGAGGATCATGGGTTCAAGGTCATCCTCAAATACACAGGGAGTTAGCGGCCAAGACACTTGAGCTCTTGTCTCGAGATAAAACAGCCCGCATTAATGATGACGAGGGGAACAGGAAGAGTGGAGATGTGGAGCGAAAGGAACCATATAAAAGCAAATGCAAGCAGAGGAAGGTGTCGATGGCATACGATAATCAGTCAAGTCATGAAACTGCTTCCCTACCCAAATCTATCTTCACACTGAATGTAGAAAGACACACTTTACACAGCACTTTTCCGATCCTCCACACTCCACACCATGCCTAGTATAGAATGGGTGAATTATAAAGGGAGTGCTGCAATATTCAATTGGTTGAGCATACTCCCAGGTTCTGGTGCCTGGACAGTTCATGTAAATTTGCATGGACCCTTAGAAAAAAGGAAGTGTTCAAGGAAACAGAGATCATTAAAAAAAAATAACACAGCTATAAAATTCCTGTCATATCCCAAGTGAGTTTTTTTTTTTAAGAAACGTCCAAACAACTAGCATGTAGCCAGAAAACTAAATAGTTATATAATTCATTCAGGTTCTACATTTTCAGCTGTCCAGGACAGAATAGTGGCATATGCTAAATCATAGTAATAAATAAGTCATTGCTGCCTTTTATTATTACAAGTTTTTGGGACTTTGACCTGCCAGGTTGTAAGCAGCATTAAAAATGCCATGCAATGTATTCATCTCCCAGATCCAGATGACAAAGATCATGACAAGGGAAGATGCCTATGGAGGCCATAGAGCACGGAGACTGAACTCACGAGAATACGGAATGAGTAGGAGGGTGTACTTGCTAATTCACAAAGGGTGCCTATTTAGTTACAATTCGTATGTCAAATTATAAACAGCCTTCCTTTGGAAATAGGAGAACTCTCGTCTAGCTTCACCTCCCCTTTACTATAGGCTCCACAGAAATTCTAAACAGATGAGTTATCTCTTTTCTAGGGGACAGAAGGACGAGTTAAACTTGAAAGTATTGTAGTTAGAAATTCAAAACTCACCATTGTAAACACACTGACCACTGGTTTCTTTTCTTTCTTCTCCTTTTTACTGAAAATACTGCAGAATAATTACAGAAAACTTTAAAATTATACAAAACCTTCCCATTACTAAATCAATTTATAGTTTTTGTTAAATGACAAGACAAAATTCATGTCTATGTAAGTCAATAAAAACAGTAGTATGGCATTTATGAGGTTTAAATGTAAATATGTTTGCATATATCTTAGAAATCTACCAGTTTGGTTATTGATAAGAATTTGGATTTTATGTAAATATATTCTTTGTACCTTAATTATTTCTTAATTTTCCATGGTGTATAGACACACACATACACACACTTTTTACAATAAGAAAAACACACACTAAAAGGAATGTTTTGTTTTTATTCCAATTACAAAACTACTCATGCTTTTAGTATTGATTACCTTGATTGTTATCTGAGTAATTGTAGTGAAAAGCATCCTATCTATTGACTGAATATTATTCTTTCCTAATACAGCAGAGTGATGATCAGATGCTGAACACACTAGCCTAAGAAACAAAATAATTAAATCACCCTAGAAGGAAATCTAATTGTGAAAGCTTATCTGCAGCACTAAGTGAACCATTATAGAAAGAAATACAATCTAGAAAAGATGCTCTATAAACAGTCAAAAAGCTGTCCTTAGACATAATGGGTCAATTCTTATTTTGAACCCAGATTCAAATGACTCACTAACCCATCTGTACTACATGTAACTGCCACCTAGGATGTAAAAGCAAACTAACCATAACAAGTCTCACTGTTCCTGCATAGAAACACTGTTAGAACAGAAAGCCTTCCTTTTACATGCATTTTTAAATCCAAAAGGTGAATTTGATTTCTTTCTTCTTTTGACTAAATAGCATTTACAACAATCAACATTCAATACCTTTCACGGTCCCTCTGAACTTTATTTTCAGACGCTCACTGAATTTGGATATTGCTAATTTGTCAAGGCTGGTTGGGCATCAACCCTTAGCATCCCAGGCACACATGGCATGGCTGGCTTTTTTAATGTGGGTTTTGAGCCTACACTCAAGTCCCTATGCTTGTATGGCAAATGTTTTACAGACAAAACCATATTCCCAGTGTTTAAGAAAACCTTTCTAAAGAAAAAGGTCAGAGGTTACTTGCATTTGGCTTGATGTTTGATAGACTATTCACAAACATCTTCAGGTTTGTTCCACGCCATTCTTAGTACAGACCCATGCAGTATCCTGGAAGCCAGGATGACACTAGCCATAAGTGGCCGAGTTTTAGTTCTCAACTTTTAATGCACCCATTCTCTAAAACAGATGCTATTTGGAGATGCTATACTAATATCCCAGGCACTAAGTAAACACTCCCCACACAGTCTGTAAACAATTCTGAGGAAGGCAAACTTTATCTTTCTTTCGGGGATGAGAAAACTGCAGAAGACTGAAGTTCCACAGTGGGAACAAACCCCAAGATTTAGACTTCCAGTTACAGGATGAGCTCCATGCTGTAAGACACTTCTCAGACTTTTAAGATATGGTGTGGCTTGAAAATGACATTTGCTCCAATTCTCAGCCCTACTAGATTACTCTCTCCCCCCACCAACACAAACAGTCTTCACAGAAGTATCAAACATCATTTTAGAGCACTTGTATAGCATGCTCTGGCCCTTGGTTTTGGACAACAATACCATGAAAAAAATTTTTTTGTGAAAAACATGTACAAATGCATATGATCCAGGAAGTACTATTATTAGTTTACCATTTTCCACCAAACAAAACTAAATGATCTTTATGTCCTTGTGTTATAAAATGTAATTATTGAGAACAGATTAAAACCAGTGGTAATGAGCAGTTCTGTAAGAACTGTTAAGCAAACAGAAAATTCTGTCTAAAGAAGCACTGTAAGAAATGATAGCACCAGCACCAAAATGAAGATCTGGGTAGGACTGGGCACTACCGTTTCCTTCCACAGGGCCTCATACTTACTCAAATGTCTAAGTGTCCATGTATGGACACAGTTCTTTAAACGATTCTCTGTGGAGCCCTGGCTGCCCTGGAACTAGCTCTGTAGACCAAGCTGGTCTCAAACTCAGTTCTGGGATTAAAGGCGTGCACCACCATACCTGGCAAATTATTTTTTAAGGCAAAAATTAGGGCTAACTTACTTCTACTATGTGTCTTCCTTGTTTATATTATAAAGGTTTTATTATTGAAATACGAAATAAAGAGAAAAATGTAAAGGTTAGTATATAATTCTCCTAGATTCATAAAGTACTAATATTTGACAATATTTATCCATATAAAGAGTATGTGTTATCAATTGTTACCATTCTGCAAAACTATTAAGCTACAAATATTGTAATATTCATATATAACATTATCATACTGAAGAAACTTAACCTCAGTGTTAAGATTATTTAAAATGCAACCCACCAAGTACTCAAGTGATCTCTCTGTCTTCTTTACTGAACCCTGATTTAGTCAGAGCTCACACGACACATCTGCTGGTCATGTTTCTTTAGTATTTCTTAACCTAGAATCCCCCTTTTGTTGGGAGAGAAGTGTCCTGTGGCTCTCCGCACTTCAGACTGAGCTCAGAGGGAGTTGTGTGGTGAGCAACGGTATTTAGAAATCAGGTATATCACTAGGAGTGCTCACCTGTACTCTCCCTTCTGGTGGACTGAAAATAAATTATAAAGTTGAAAATCAGCACACTTCGATATGCTTGGTGGCTTCATCAGGTAAGAAAGTTATTGGTCTCAGATGTTATCTGACATTCTAACTTGTGGGTTAATAGAAGCTTGAGTTCTGTTTGGTTAATTCATAGTCATAGGAATGTTAGGAAGGCTAATAATAAGGGTAGTACGGGGACTGGAGATGCCTATGATATTTTGTAAGTAGGTTCTAGACCTGAAACATTCCTACCTCTCCCTGTCCTTGAAGTTCTAATCAGTTAATCAGCCTTTGTAGAATTTTGAATGCAAGATGTGACTTCTTTCTTTCTTTAGTAATACAACCATTTTATATAGAAACAGCTATTGAGACTTAAATAAAATGTAATTTTTGCCTCTCTTCCTACTTTCTGCCACAAACAGGCATCTACGGAGTTGCTTTATCAGAAGCAAGACAATGGACTACCGAAGAGAGCCCACGGAGCAAAAGGCTCAGGTGCACGGACAATCAACAGTGATCGTAAAGCCCAGGTTGTAAAACTAAAAGGATGTGAGCAATGGCGTCTGGAGGCTGAACAGGAGCCTCGATCTGGCACACACATCTGGAGGGCTGCTCCAAGCATGGGAGTTCCTTCCAGTGGCTAGTTTATGTTTCTGAAGGCTGAAATAACCACCACCCATCATTTAGTGCAGTGCTGGAGACTACAAACTACAAAACTGTCAACTGTGAAAGTGAAACAATCCGGCTACCTCTTTCTGCCCATCTTGGAGAATTTCTTGTCTGCTCTTTCGTTAAGGTCCTCTTCAAGCTCCATCACGACCTGGGGAGAAAGCACAGTTCATCAGCCAAATAATACACAGCCACAGGGCCCAGAGTCCAGGCTGAGCTCATTGCCCCGCAGAGCCCAGCGGTGAGCAGTCCCGCCCTGATGCTCCCAGGGCTGGGCCTGGAGGTAACTCACCCCGGGGATCCCGGGAGCTCCCGGGTCACCCACGTGGACCAGGTGTTGGGCTCTGGATCCTGCCGCCCCGCCCTGCCGGGTCCCCTCGGCCGCTGTGCGCTCCTCCACCGGGCCGCGGCTCGGGGCTGGGCAGCGGGATCCACCGCGCGGGCTGGAGCCCAAAACACCGGCTCGGGGGCTCCCGGAGCGACTTGGGGCTCAGGCATCCTGAGCAGCGGACCCCACCTGGGAAAAGCCCACTCCACGTGTCTCTACCTCCGCTTTCCTTCGCAAAGTCCGCCAAGACGTGGGGAAGAGGCGACTCCCGAGTTTAGTGGAGCCCGGGAAGATGGGAGCAAAGGCTCCTGGAACCGCTGCTTGACTGCGCCCGGGCTTTCTGAGGACAGGGTTCTACACTGGTGTGCTCAATCTACGCCAGGCACAGTCCCGCCCAGTCAGCCAGATTGACCAGGAGGTTAACCAGCTTCAGGCCCGGCTTGACTCATGATTATTACAGGAGCAATTGCGAAACAGGTTGTATTTCTAGACGAAATGTGCAGTCTTGTTTCCTTTCGCAAAGGTCGAGTTGATGAACTCACATTCCCCCAATCATCAGACACACACTTGTAAGAGTAGCTTGTCTACACAGCCACACAAAGCGTCCATATATAGAGCTGGTGTATGTAGATCTGCAATTGGTCTTCTGCTCGAGGCAAACTTAAGGGACACATTCCATGCACACCTTCTAACAGCCAATTAAATAATGCGGACCCTACCCAGTCAGTAAATCTCCCTTCCTTGAAGGGAAAGAACCCCTGGTCAGGAAGGAGCTTTTCTTTAGTATATTTCACAGTTTCTCGGGTATATCGGCTTATCTCTTTTATTAAAAAAAATCAGAACAAAACAAAAAAATAGAAATAAAGAAGATTATTTCCAGTAGATAAATGGATCACTTTGGTGTAGAAGCAATATTTAAAAATATGTAGTATTTTTAACTTTCAGCTATCAAACCTATGTCCATGTTCCTCCCGAGGCATTTGAAATTCTTACAGTTCAAGTTGTATTATTAAACATTAACTTTAACACATTGCTTTAGTTGCTATTTCTTCTGTGTTTACGACATTTTATATTCTTCCTGAGATTTTACTCCAAACCCACCAGAAGTAAATGCAGTCTTCCAGTTCAAATTCACAAAACCGGTTTAAATCCTCTGGAGTGTTTTATTCTCTTGTAAAACATTAGGAAAGTGGTTGTTTTTTAACCTCTGATTTGCATTATTTGGCTTAAACCAGTTGCCTCTGGACTTGCTGCAAGTATTAAGAAAAGGAAAATCCTGCCTTTGTTTCTGCGGAATGTGAAAGTGTAACCTCTTCCCTCATGTATTTCAGAGTCATTTTTCCCCTTTACCCAAAAATATCCTTGCTTTGACTCTTTTGGAAGGGTACATGCAACTGATTAAAAAAAACTAATATTGTTATAGACTTTCTAATAGGTCACTAGTTTTTTGTTCATTTTGGTTTTGGTTTGTTTGTTTTTGTCAGGGAAAGATTGTTTTCCAATTTTCTAATTGGCCTTGCCCATGTACAGCACCTGTAGTCTACCTGGGGCAACTACATGTCCTCACTTTCATCCTAAGCATCTCTAGTCTTGTTTATGCTTCTGATGTTTCTTTACTCGTCAAGCTCTAGAGGTTGCATCTCTCCTAGATTTGGTCCTTGTAGGAACAATTGTGACTAACATTTCTTAAGCATTAATCATACATATATGACAAAATGGGCTAAGCACTTAAAAAGGATTTTTAAATTAAATTAAACCATTTAATCCTCATAAGAACTGATGAAGTTGTTATTATTATTGTTCTTCTTAGTTCCCAGTGGGGAAAACAGGTCTATGTTATTTGCCAAAAACCACATAGCTGATAAGCAAAAGATCCAGGACTTGCAAAGTATCATGAAAACTATCCCCCCCTTTTTTTCTTTCCCTCCTTATTTTTTGGGTTGTGCATGGGCAGTGTCTCATTATATATTTCCAGACTGGCCTTGAACTTTCAATATCCCAGCTTTAGACTCTGGAAAGCTTGGATTACAGGCTTGTACCACCACACCTTCACCCTTAACCACGCTACACTCTGGACCATGACTACAGTACATTACTACTCTGCCTTACTGAGTCTCAGGAAACTTTTCACCTTACGAATCAACTTTGGAAATGCTACAGTGGCCCAACCATATTCCACCTCAGAATGTACTGGGCTTAAGGACGTTAGCATAGTATTATTCTCTCTATGCTTCTACCTCATCTCTTTAGACCATCTCCCCAGCACGTTTATGCTTGTTTCATTTCGAGTCACTGTGCCTCTCAGGCGACCTGCTACTTTCTGTCTTTTCCTACATGTAAATCTCTCTGTGTTGAAGGCTTGGACATAATGCAGTAGGGTTTAGAGGTTGGGCTTTGGGGAAGTGGTTGGATCATGGAGCTCTGACCTAAAGAATGGATTGATTCACTGAATGATTCCTACTCTGATAAAATATCAGGATTTAACTGAATCTTAGAAGGTGGGACTTGGTTCCAGAGAGGTCTTTGGTTGTCTGTCCTCAGAAATTATGTTTTCCTACTTCTCCCTTCACTGCCCCTCCTCCCGTTTCCTAAGTGCCGTGATGTGAACAGCTGTGCTATACCACATAATCCCAGCCATGATGCTCTACTTCAGCCTGGCCTGTGGACTGACACTTCTGACATCATGAATCAAAATAAACCTTTTCTCCTGTGAATATTTATCTGACATATTTCATCACTGTGATGTAAAACTAACATGTGTTCTCCTAAAATTTCTAATTATTCAAGTTCTTCTTATAACCTCTTGTAAATTGTGCCTCCTAGATATCTATAAGAATTAATTTCCTCTTCTTCTACTAGCTTTTCTATTTATCTACTTTGAGTCTAAATTTAATATAATCTGAAAGAGAACCAAATTCACCTTGATGAACTTAGTTGACTTCAGACAGAAAGACTATTACAGAAGCCCAGTGCAAAAAATGATTCACTTGTGCTAACAATAAAGGATCCACAATATTACAGTGTCCACCCATTTATGTGTAACTGATTTTTATGTGTGAAAGACGTATGACTATCTAAGTGACAAGGACATTGAATGACTGTATCCAAATTCACATTACCACCAGATTGCTATTTAAAACCCTGCATTAGAAAACTCCAAACTCTTGGCTGTGCAAACTTTCTCAGTGGGCAAAGGCACTGCCCATCCAGGCTGAGCACATGAGTGGAATTCCCAGAACACACATGATAGAAGAAGACAGCAACTGCTGCATGTTGTCCTCTGACCTGTGTATACATGCTCACAAACCAACAAATCAATGGAATTTTTAGTTAAAAATCCAAACTTGTAAATTCAGTAATTTCCAAAGAGGTTGTCCTGCTATCATTTAGCCTATGATATAACAGTCACAGCTCAGGTAAAATGGTTTTCAAAATAAAAGAAGTCGATTTAAAATTAAATGATTATTGTACTCTAGGTAGAGATGATTTCCACCCTTCACCTACTCCTAATTAGTTTTACTTTTAATTTGATAAATACCAGTACTTTACCTGAGGATAGATTTTTTTGTTTTGTTTTGTTATTTGTGGTTCACATAAAGATTACATATCTTCTTAGCTGGGTGGTGGTGCCGAACACCTTTAATCCCGGCAGAGGCAGATGGATCTCTTTGAGTTTTGAGACCAGCCTGGTCTACAGAGCTAGTTTCAGGACAGCCAAGACTACACAGTGAAACCCTGCATCAAAAAAAAAATGTTTTTCAAAGTCAGCCTGGGATGCATAGCAGGGCCATGTTTCAAAAGTCATGATAATTAATATGAATAGTTTTCTTTTTTTTTTTTTTGGTTTTTCAAGGCAGGGTTTCTCTGTATTGTTTTGTGCTCACTTCAGCAGCACATATACTAAAATTGGAATGAATAGTTTTCTTACCCCCTTAGCCATTTTTTTCTCAAGATGACTCCTAAAGGGACTTTCCTTAGATATTCAATTACCATTCAGTTGTAGCAATCCTAGTATATGTCTATTTCATTCTTATCTTAGTTTATAGCCAAACCTTTTACCCTGACATCAGCAGTAAGAAATTCCTGATGTAAATATAATATTATCTTTAAAGTTTTTTTATTCTTGGCAGCATTCATAAAAGCATCATTTCCTGTTTAGTTTTTTCAATTGCTTTATGATTCATAGACTTTGAACTTGCCTAATCTCAACTGAACTTTCTCTTGAGAACAAGGTTTAATCAGTTCACTTATACATTTCCAGTTTTTACATTATTTCAGATGATACAACTATTTAAAATATCCTTCCTTAAGTAAAAATTATTGTTCTAGTATATGTATTAATTTTTGGTTACATCTCATTTGCAATTGAAATGTGCTAGTAAATACTTTTCTGAAAGAGTTTGTTTGAGGACGTCACTCATTCATTCAACAATGTTAACAACTGAGTACCTCCTAGATTTTATATGCTGTCCTAGAGTGCACAGTGTATATAATGACAAGCAAATGAAAACATCTGCTTGGGTAGAATTTATTTTTGCACCTAGGCAGTGAGAATAAAGGTCAAAAAGTGATTCAATGTGTTCAAAGGTGGAGAGTGCTCTGGGACAAATGGAAAGGGGTAGGGGAAGGTAGAGTAGGGTAGGGAAGGGTAGGGTAGGAAAGGGTAGGTAGGGAAAGATCCAAAGTTAAATAGCACAGTCACGGAAGACCTCACTGAAGATATAGCATTTAACCAAGATAGGCAAGAGCTGAGGATAGTTGAGTGGTGCAGTTAACAGTTTAGAAATCTTCAAAAATGAAGATTTTAACCTTGTTTAAACATGGTTTCTGCTATAAAATGTTTCTCACCTACCAGTGCCTCTAGATGTTTGGGCTTGGAAAGAACATAGAGGTCAACTCCTGCAGTCCTGCATTCCAGTCTATGAAATGCTAAAGAGCAATCAGGTAGGAAGGCGTCCATGGTAACAACATAGGTTTTCTGACCTGGAGCTTGCAGTTCTAATGGTCAGATGTCAACCTGGCAAGCGTAGGGTATGTGTTGGAGGGCCTGGGCAGTACCATTCTTCATCTGTTTCCTTTTCACATCAAGTTTCTCTCATCTTGACTTCACTTGCGCCATTGACCAGCTAAGCCTCCCCATTTTCCTTGCCACTCCTCCGGGTCCCCTAGGAAGGCTGTCAGTTTGAGGAAGCTATAAAGCAGACAACCTATTTACCCTTCTAGTGGCCCTGTCACCCCCATGTTCCTAGGCATCCAAGCCTGGACAATCATGGTCAGAAGTTTATTTTAATGTACAATATTTGAAAAAGAGTGAAAGAAATGTTGCTCATTACAAGTTTCACTTTTGGTCTAGTGATAAATGATCCTAAAATATACAAAATAAT